GTTGTTCATATTATGACACATGCAGTTGTTGTTCATATTATGACACATGCAGTTGTTGTTCTTATTATGACACATGCAGTTGTTGTTGTTCATATTATGACACATGCAGTTGTTGTTCATATTATGACACATGCAGTTGTTGTTCGTATTATGACACATGCAGTTGTTGTTCATATTATGACACATGCAGTTGTTGTTCATATTATGACACATGCAGTTGTTGTTCATATTATGACACATGCAGTTGTTGTTGTTCATATTATGACACATGCAGTTGTTGTTGTTCATATTATGACACATGCAGTTGTTGTTCATATTATGACACATGCAGTTGTTGTTCATATTATGACACATGCAGTTGTTGTTGTTCATATTATGACACATGCAGTTGTTCATATTATGACACATGCAGTTGTTGTTGTTCATATTATGACACATGCAGTTGTTGTTGTTCATATTATGACACATGCAGTTGTTGTTCATATTATGACACAGAGAGGACCAGTTCAAGGCAATTTCCATTCAATTTCCTTTCTGTTTGTGTGTTGCTTTGTATGAGGATTGGTTGTTCATATTATGACACATGCAGTTGTTGTTCATATTATGACACATGCAGTTGTTGTTCATATTATGACACATGCAGTTGTTGTTCATATTATGACACATGCAGTTGTTGTTCATATTATGACACATGCAGTTGTTGTTCATATTATGACACATGCAGTTGTTGTTCATATTATGACACAGAGAGGACCAGTTCAAGGCAATTTCCATTCAATTTCCTTTCTGTTTGTGTGTTGCTTTGTATGAGGATTGGTTGTTCATATTATGACACATGCAGTTGTTGTTCATATTATGACACATGCAGTTGTTGTTCATATTATGACACATGCAGTTGTTGTTCATATTATGACACAGAGAGGACCAGTTCCCGATAACAAAAGAAGATTTAAAATAAATACACTAACAGAGGCTTCCTAGTCTCTGAGCCACTGAAAGAGAACTTGGAAATAAAATGCATAATTTTAAAACAGTGTTGCCAGCACAAAATCGCAAGAACAGTTGCCAGAGGCTGCACAATTTGACTGGCAGTCTTTTAAAAAAAGTGAATAACTTATCAGTCATATCCTTTTTATTTTTATTTTTATTTTTTATTATCCAAATCATTTAGCAGTTCCTTTGCAGAACATCCCACCCATTGTGACTCACCAGAAAGCCTCTTGGCTCCTTGCCAGTTTTCTTACCTGATGTATTTAAACACCCTGGGTATCTGCTTTATCCTGTGTCCACCTTCATTATTTTCAACTCCTGCCTCTCCTTCAAGGAGCTGTACATCCCTTACTGCTCTTTCTTAACCACTGTATTATTTAATATGTTTGAAGTTTCTGAGTTGTGACTATGTGATGCTGTTCAGTAGTCAGTTTTCTTCTGTGCTCATATCTTGTAGAATATCAGTATTTTTCTTCTTGATCAATTGTACTCTAAGAATTGTTCTATATCAAAAGTCTTTAGGGATTGTGAAATGTTCAATAGCTCACATTTGCCACAGGAGAACTATCTTCTCTTAAATGTGTACTTTAGCTTGTTCGTTGGTGTTGTGCCATAGACTGTCATTGCTTTGTACAAGTATACTATTTATAAGTCATTGCTTGGTACAAGCATTCTATTTATAACAGTCATTGTTTTTCACAAGTATACTGTGTGTAACTGTCATTCCTTCATGCAAGTATACTATTTGTAACTGTCATTGCTTCGTGAAGGTGTACTATTTGAAATGTTCTAATTTTGCTGTGATTTGTCTCTAATGGTGATATTACGTGTTGGACAGCATGGAACATTTGTGTGAAGGCAATGTTTCGATTCGTGATCAAGGCTTAACATTTGTGAAAACCATCTATGACTTACTGGAGAGATTGCTTGTCTATAGAACCATCATGCAGGATGAAGTTCGGGAACATCGTATGAGCTGTATTGTCAACTTGCTGGTGAGTCAGTTATCATGTCATCTTCAGTGATTGGACACACTTGATCTACATTGCTGTGCCCTATGATTGTATTGCTGTCTTTGTTAAATGCATTTCTGTTCCTTTGTATAATAAATGTAGTCAGTTATGATTTGTGGAAAACCACACAAATGTTGGTTTTATTAACTCTTATTAAACATTTCTCTATGAAGTTTATTACACTGATAGGTAGTGTTTCTTTATTTCTTCGCTTTTTTTCTGTTTGTTTTTACTCTCAGTATAAGTAGAAGAAAGTTCTAGAGTAAACTCTGTTATGTGCTTCATAGGTTGATTGGCTCAATTATACAATTTAAACACCTTGAGAGTTGCAGTAAACAAAAAGACACTTTGAGAGAACTTTCCTATTTGAGAACCCTAGCATGGATTCCACTGTCTGACTAAAGACTTTCAGTTTGAAGTATCAAAATAATTGTTTCTTTGTTGGAATATTTTCTTTGTTTTGAAATTCAGTGTGATTATTTCATTCTTATTTCTGTTTACATTTAAAAAAAAAATTTTTTTTAAACCAAGATGGAACACATTTTTAGTTGATTTAGACTGTTTTATCTTCCTTGTCAGTCAGTAGTCATCATTGTTGCCTTCATTTAATTTTACACACTCTGTATGGTTTATATTGTATAGTTTACTGAATTCTTGCATATTTTGTTCTGCTTTTAGTACTATTAAATAGAAGAAAGCAGTAAAAATAAAAACAGCCTAACAAGTGAACATGTTGTACATGTTAATGACTACTATGCAGCTTGTGTGAGGTTTCAGTCACAATTAAGTTTAATGGAGCAGTATAATCTTCTATGACATCTAGTTTTTTATAGCCAAAGTTACATATACTGACAATGGGTGCTTGATATAGATGAATGGATATAATTAATTTTCTATTGAGTGTATGTAACATCTAATTTATCTGTTTCAAGGACTTCTACCATGAAATCAATAGACAAGAGATGTACATTCGTTACCTGCACAAACTGTGTGACTTGCACTTGGGATGTGACAATTACACCGAGGCTGCCTACACACTCATTCTGTACGCCAGGCTGCTACAGGTATGTTGAGTCTCATCGTTTCCATCAAACTAGTAATATTGTTTTCAAACAAATGAATCATATTTGTCTGTGTTTCACAGTATCAGTTAGCTTTTTTCATCCAAACAGCTATTTTTGTTAGTTAATCAATATAATCCTCAGTCACGGGACATTGTCATATAAGTGGTATCTTTGGTGGATGTGGGTTCAAATCCAGATGAGAAATCCAGACAACTGCCCCTTGATAATAAAGGTAGACAGTCTTTGGATAAACAGATGCAGCCTAGATTGGCTCGCAAACGAAAATAAGCTGACTAGTTATCCACAGGAAAAGGAAAAATGTGTTTTGAGAACTTATTGTAAGAAGTTCATACGTCTACACATCTCAGACTTTGTGCTGTTATGTGTTGTGTATAAAAGGACATGCTTATTCACCAGCTCTCCTCCCTCTCTCTCTCTCTCACATACCCATTCCTTCTCTCTTCCCTCTCTCACTTGGATGTCTAAGAAGTACTTGTGTCGCACATCTTGTCCTTACATCCTATGCCTTCACCTACTGTTCTGTCATGATAATCTGTCCTAAGTCTGATGTCGTCACACACACAGAGTGGAGGAAATTGTGGATTTGCATAAGTGGTGCTATCATGTTAACAGTTTGAAAGGATATGTGCAGGTTGTTCAGAATAAGCAGTGATTTGTCCATTGGTTTGTCCATGTTGGACTAACAGCAAGCTTGTGACCTTTGCATGACCTGTTTTAAAAAAAAAAACCTTCCCACCACTGATATTGTGTGGTGTTACATATGCCAGCAATTCCGTATATGAATAATGAAGTCATGAATGACACATTCGAACAAACATTGAGAGCAAGATTGAAGTAAAACCAGCAAATGATTGAAGTAGGACATTCACCAGCTAAGAAATATTTTTCTGACAAGTAGTCTAGAATAAGGATAGACCAGGAAGCATTTTGGGAGACTGAAAAGCATTGATAGAGTGCACAGTAACTGATAATTACATACTCTCTTACCTAGAATAGCCCAGAAAATTCTGTTTTCTTGGTACAAAATAGATGGTAAGATCTCGCAAACATCTCCATGGGGCTCCCAGATAGAGTATGAAGGTATAATACAGAGTGCCTCCGCTTATGTCTTACCATCACGTCCTTTCATTTGCTTTTTCATGCTACCCTATTTCTAGACTTGAGTCTTTCAGCCCTGCCCTCTGATACATCTCTGTCCTGTCAATCTTTTATCAGCTTCTTCCACATTCAGGAAAAAAATAGGATTGAGGAAATAATACAGAATAAGATAAGTTTTTACCACTGGCACCAATTTTAGGACATCCAAACATAACCTTGACTCCAAAACAACAGACTATAAACAGCATCTTCATACCAAAATTGAGCTACCAGTGCCAAACATGAACATTATCTAAAGTCCATATACACAAAATCACCACTTGTGAGTTGAGATGCCTGAGGACGAGTGAATAATGATCTCGTTAAAATGCAGCACAGGCACTACTTCTCAGAAGATCAGCTACCAGAACCAGAGGATAGCCATTTAAAAAATGGATTGACAACATTAAAAACTCTGTACGCCTTTACAGCATGATAATAACCAGAACTAGCCAGCGTGCATTTGATCACAAATTGTTCCTCCCCATGACTCTTAATGGCACAAGTGATTTATGATGAAAATAAAAAGGTTATATGGTCATATAAAAAGTCACAGCTACCTAAAGATGTGGGGGGGGGGGTTTACAAAAGGTAGACACAATTACCTGTGAATAAACAACACAAAGAGGAATTGTGATGAAGGGCAATGGGTATTGAAAAATCAGTACAAATGTGGCACTTGTTAATGGTGATGATTGACTGTCCTGATCGTGCTTTAATTTTCCTTAGGTTGTATGTCTGTGTGTTAATTTCTGTGCTGTAAATGGTACTTATGATGTTGTGCAAAGTATATTTGTTTTTTTTGACAACACACTTATGCCTTCAGTTAATTATGTTATTGTAGAAGCATCACCTTCTGTGAAAATGTTGGCTTAGATTCTTAAAGAACACAATTTTTGTTAATAAGTGATTGACATCCTAATTTGTTGTGCTGGTGCATTTCACAGTGGTCCGATGAACCGCTGGCTCCTATGCTGGTAAATCCAAACTATCCAGATGCTGTGACCCAGGTATGTATCCATCATATTTACTCAGCCTCACAAATACTCTGTGAATTCTGATCCTCATTATAAGGACATGGACTTCTTTACCATGGGTTTTGTATCTGAACTTCGTTAATTATTCTGCTATATAAATGCACCAGATTTTGTTTAATTGTTTGTTTTTGCATGACATATGGATATAATTTCATTGTCACCTTATAATTTATGATTGCTTTGTCTTGTTTATTGCTGTAATTGTAGACCTCAGATCTCATGACATTATTAAATTCACACAAAGCTTTCATTTCTGCTGAAGTTGCATGAATTCATGAAGAATTAAACAGTGTGCCGGTCATTAGCTGAATGCATTGTTATATCACAGATATGTTTGAATGTACAGCTTGCCATCATTGTGCAGTCTGCTGTGTTCAACTGTTTCAGATGTGGGAGAAGGGTATAGAGCTCTGTGAGGAACTTTGTGTGCTCTACAGGGATGAGTTGTTTGATTATGTCAGCCTCAGCAAAATTTTGGTTAGTACTTAAATGATTACATTTTGTTCTGCATCACAGAAATATGCTTTCTTGAAGTAACTCTATTGGCCTTAATAAACTTGTTTGCTTTGGCATGTTATGCTTCTAAGAATGTGCTATTTAAATCTAGGGTAATTAGGTTCTGCAGCCCATAAATGGCCTTTTAACACTTTTCTGACCAGCCGTTTGGAGCATCTTTGTCTCCCATTGCTTAGAAAGAAACTAGACCATTCATCAGCCTGTTATATTTAAAAACCGTCCCCATGTGGGATCAAGTTTTCCTTATTTTGAAGCGCCACCTTGGCTGTTGCCAGGGACACTAAAATAACCCAACCTATGGGTTTAACAGGGTTTCTGGGACCTGTCCCTGGGTGATCCTCATCCAAAATGGGGGCACTTTATGTCACTGGGTGTTTGTCGCTGGCTGTGATGTCCTGGTGGGGTTGAACATCAGTCAGTCTGTTTCTTTCAACCCTGTGCTCTAGTGTTAGACCAGGACATTTACAACACTGGAGAATAGGAAACCTTAGCCTATGAAGACTGCTCTGTGTCACAAGAGAATATTTTTTTTTTTAATGTGGTAAAGAGTTAATAGTAGATTAAGGCTGCATCAAAAAGCAGCAGGTAAAATAGTTATTCCATGCATTACCATTAGACAATATTCTACCCAAAGCATTATCACTCTGAAGCGGGGGGAAAACAGCAGAAATTCACCCCTACAGTTGGTAACTAATGAGCATTGCAGAGGCAGTGAACGTCAGTTGATGAGGAATGTACCAGCACTCATCTGATAATTGATATCTGTTTTGTGCCATATTCTTCATAATGCTCAATTTTGCTGTAAATTGTAATGTTTTCTCAGTTTGTTGATGAAATTCTTAATATTTCCCATCTTTTGTTCTTGGCTTTTGCTTCGTTGTCCCACTATGTCATTTACTGACTGTAGCAGTTCAAAATTTTTTATTTACATTTCATATCACTTCACAATCTGTGATTGTATTTCATATCATTTCACTTTCTTTTTGGAATTGAACTGATGAATTCAAACTGTGACTTACAATTGTTGATTGTTTACAGAAAAGGCAAGCAGAACTGTATGACTGCATCATGACACAAATAAGACCAGAACCAGAATATTTCCGTGTTGGTTACTTTGGCGGAGGCTTTCCATCTTTTCTTCAGGTATACAGTCTGTGTGTTGTTGAGGTTATAACCTCATCTGAGCATGTGCACTCATGTTTATGTGCAGGCATACATAAGAGTGTGCATATAGCACACACATACATTGTGTATTAGCACACATTGTATGGAAGGACATTATTAGAGATTGGATATGAAGTTTTCATCCTTTCGCTGCCATCGACATATTTCTCTGTTTTCCCATGGGCTGTTCTTTGAACGTTATCAGGTTTCCTGACCCTCACTGCTATGGACGTAAAAATACATTTTTCCACTTGCCTTACCTACTTCTAAGGATCATGTTCTCAGGGGTCAAAGGGCATTACTCATTAGCTTTTTCGTATCTAGTTGACCCATTTACATATGATTAAACACCTTGTCACATGCATTTAGTTGCATTCTACGTTATCCTGTTGCTTTGTTTACGAGAGAAGCGTTGTTGGTGAACTGCGTATATTTTGCACTGAAATATATTTCTGGTTTTGCATTAGTTTACATTTTATTTATACAAAATGACAAGAAAACTGGTTAAAGTTGATGAAGAATTCATGGAGTTTCTTTCAAAGAGTGACAGTAATATGCAAGTCATGGGTTGGGTTATCTTCATGGCACTCCAGCCGACATGTATAGTTCTGGCCGTGAGCAAGACCATCTGACCCAGCCATCAACATTGACATGATTTAAAATGGATCCCCAGTTATCAACAAGAATATGGCCACATACTGACATGATAAGTTGAGTCCAGAATTGACATCACAGTACTCGAGGCATTCCCATATAAGTTGTGCTGATGATTAAATTTAATTATCTCCTATACCATGCAACAGACAATCTTTCTGTGTGTCTATCAGACTGTATGATACTTGTCTTATTTTTTTATTTTGTTTGTTTGTTATTATCATATTATATTCTAGTGTAGTGGGTATCACGTCCGCCTTACAATTGGAAGGTCCTGCATTCAACCCAGCTGGACTTTTGTTGTTGGTGTAATATTGTTTATAATTTTTAGTTTTTCAGTTTCAGTTCTTAGCACTTTCAGTAACGGTTGACCCAAGAATTAATTTTTTTTTTAAAGTAATAACGTGATGACTACAATTAATTATGAGTAAAGTAGGAGCCACAGTGGATTCGTCAATCAAATTAGAAGGT